AATGGAGAGTGCATGCTAGAAAGTTAGAGACGAAAATGTCTGAAAATGAGAGGCTCTGACGTATTATTGCAAATGGGACTTGGAAATGGCGATAGACACGCTACTACTCCCTCAATCAATGGTGTGTCATCCTTCAAATGTTTCATCTTAAAGACGTGTTTGTTTAGATTAGACAATTTTTACAATCAAACCATTCTCATAATTTTTTTTCATTAAAATACAGTAAATTTAACAATTTTAATTCATATAATACTTAATTTTATTTTTATCAATAATTTATTAGTCATATCGATAGAAAAATGATATTAAAATTACTTTTATGTTAAAATATATAATTTTATTTGTTTATTTTTATATTATTTGTATTAATTTTAATTTTTTTAACTTTATTAAATTTGAAATCATGTAATTATATTCAAACTGTAATAGCTGTATTTTTTTGTATTTTATTCTACTTTAAAATTTTATATGAAGTGAAAGCCTTTTCCAGTGGATTATGACTTTAAAAATGTTGTTCATTTTCAAAATTTGTTGGCGCTCTGTTTGTTTGTTATTCGTATGAATTAAGTTATTGACATACGACTTGACCAACTAGATGTCTTGGCTTAAATTGGAGACAGCATCATTACTTACTTACTTTGATAAATAAATATAAATATAAATACAAATACATATAAACATATGTTTGATAAATTATTGGAGTTAGTAACCAATAATGAGATTGTCAAAATATAATCACCAAAGATAACAGGAAGATTATTGGAATTTAACATAGGGTCATTATTGGTTGATCGAAAGTCAGAGATGGTGGATGACTAGGTAATAGATGAAAATAGTATTCAGTGGTAGGTGATGGTTGGAAGTAGTGAGTGAGGGCTAAAGAAGATAAAATTTATTTTAAAAAACAATAAAAAAAAAAAACACAATTTTTTCAAAATATTTTGAAATTTTTGAAAGTTGCGACCCTTTTTTCTTTTCAAAAATGAATTCTGTTTTAATTTTTGAAGTGAGTGATATTAATATATCACTTGGTTTTTTGTTATTATTTTATATTATCGGTGCATAATAAAAATGTTATTTGTTTTCCTTACTTTTTTAATGATTATCGTTAAATGAAGAAATTAATCGGTAATGTCTATGTAAAGATTGTTACAAAACGGTGATAAAAATTAAGTGACATATAATATTTTTCTTAAAATGTGACTTACAAATTGAACTACCGTAATGTCTATATAAATCAACAACTAAACAATCCATGTTATAAGGATTCAATTTATGGGTAATAGTTTATAAGTTTTAAACATTTTGCACAGTATATAAAATTTCAGATTGGACAAAATGGCCTCAAAAATGTAATTACTGGCGCGTATTGTCCTTACAAATATTATAAAAGTGATAAAACATTATTAACAATACATTTTTTAATGCAAAAGTGACCTAGTGATCTTATTCTTTCAGGAAAAAGATACTGAGAATTCCCTTTTTTTGCAATGAAAATATGTTTGGTTTGTGTTTGAGAGATGTGTTTTAGAGATAAAAAGTACGAAAAGTTGTTTGGTTTGGTTTTTTTCAAAAGATGTTTTGGAAAATTATTTTGAGAGAGAGTTTTGGAAAAAGTGATTAATTTGATGTGTGTGAGAGAGAGATTTGTTTAGAAAACTTGTTTGGTTTACAAGTTTTGAGAAATTTTTTTGGAAAAATTTGTTTGGTTTAATTACTTTTAAAAACTTATTTATAGAGAAAATTTTCCAAAAATTTTTCAGAAATACAAACCAAACGAACCCAAAACATTTGAAAACAATTTGAAAAAAAAATCACCATATTTACATTTTCATATTTTTTTTTTGTTTGTAGTAATTTTATTTTACGTTTTTAATAAATACTTTTATTTTTTTTTAATTACATCTGAAAGGTTTAAAAAGAAAAATATTTAAAATATTAAAAGTTTACTAAAAAAAGTTGAAAATTAAATTTTGGAGTTTTCGGCCACGCCAAACCTAAAGCTCAAATCAAATCAAACCAAAACAAACCAAACCAAGAATTTTACTTTACTTTTATTTTAGGATAAATTACAAATGTTAGTTTAAAATAATTTTAGAAATAACATCTGACCTTTTAAAGTTTTTAATTTTACAATAAATGATTATTATTATTAATAAATTATCAAATTAATTAATATTTTTAATGATGTTAGAATATATTTTAATTAATTTTATTATTGTATAGGAGGACAGTTAAAAATTTTATTTTTAAATTAATTTTATTAAATAAAAAAATATATTTATAATTTTTCAAAGAATATTGTTATTCAAATCCAAAAGTTAAACCCAATTTTTAAATTTAGTGATATGTTAAGAAGATAATTAATTAATAATTAAATGTTCTCTAACTATTAATCAATTATGTTCTTAATACATTACTGAGTCTATAAAGTGAGTCTAAAAAGTGAATTTGTGTATCATTTTTTTTTTTAAAACTATAACCACAACCGGTATTATAAATAAATTTTAAGGAAAAATGTGAGGAACCGTTTTACCAATATTTCTATCAAATGCCTATATGAGTTCCATGTAAGTTTCGCACCTGGCCCATTTTGGAAAACATAAGTTAAAAGTCAAAAGTCAATTTTTAACCTATTTTAGGCCATGCAATCTCTCACATAAAACAGTAAAAAAAATTAAAAAATCAATTTTTAACCATTTTCCTAAAACACTCCATATAAAAAATTTAATAAAAATATTGATAAAACATTTGCACAACTACGTTACTCAATTTTAAGGGTGCATTTTTTATTTTATCATTTATTTTAAAACTCATTTTATTCTCTAAATTTTCCTTCTGGGGACTGGTACTGAAGCATCGCAGTCGCAGCTTGGCTTTGAGAAGGTACTAATGGATGGATGACTACGAGGAGGGAGGGAGGAGGAGCAATGCCGACAGCGGTACAATGGATGGATTGTGACGTGAGCCAGCAACACAAGGAAACTGAGTTCTCTCCCACGGGGTGTGTCTTTTCTGTCAATTTTGTTTCCTCATCTATCAGTTTCCTCCAATGTTATTTCCACCTTTTCCTCTCTTTCTTTCTCCAATTCTGATTCCTGATTATTTCTGTATAATTTCCAATGCATGTGATGTGAGTAGAGGAATTGGGCTAAATATCAGAACCCAGATTGCTTTTTATTCTTTTATCAATTTATTTATTTTTATCTTTTTTTCTCTGGTGTGCTTCTTGATGTCATATTGGTCTGCAAAAGCTGCAATGGTTTGGTTTGGATAACCAATTCATAACTAGCAATAATATCATTACTCTTTTCACTGCAAACATAGATTAGTTATATTATATGTAATTAGTAGAACATGTAAGACACAGTAATGGCAGCTTTAGACCAAAAATGAATATGGATGAGTTGAAGCTATTAGAGCATGGTCATCACGGGCCATATAATTTTTCTTGAATTTTTGGGGGCTAGGGTTCCTGCAACCTTACTGAGCTTTATACTCTCTCAATATACTTTTGCATCCATTCAGCATTGCAATAATTTTATTTTTTGACAAATCAAAGTTTTAAAGTTAGAATTTCACCCGCTATTGATGTAGAAAATTAAAAAATTCAGAATGTAACATCTCAAGTTCTTACAGCAAGTAGGGTTCAAGAAAAAATGGTGTACATAGAATAGGCTAATATATTCAAGGAAATCAAATCCTGTGAAGTCCTTTCAAACAATCACTTATGTTTTTGGGGTTTTTCTGGGTTGATAGGATTTGTTAGGAGACTTCTCTGTAGAGTTATTTTAGTGAGAATTCAGAAAATATTATCTAATATATGGTTTCTTGGGTAGGAACATCAGTTGATGGTGTTTACAACTGATTTTTTTTTGGGTATCTAGAGGGCATCCAAAAGGTCTTGAATGAGTATGCGACTATCTTGATGATAATGGTATTAACAATTTTCATTTGTGATAGGAAAAAGAAGACTTTAACTTAGCTCAAGGTAGTGTGAGAGAGATGATGAATTGAACGATTTGGAAATGGGGGCACTAAATGCCAGTTGAATTGGTTGTATCAATGCAGTTTACGATGTTAATTAATTTGCTTGGAATTTATTCTACTCCAGCCTAGATGTTGGAGCGTTTTTACTTGGCAAAATCTTATTTGCAAATTGTTATTACTTGCGAAGAACTGCATTGTGTTGGTGATGGAAAAGATCAAGTGTTTTCAACCAACTTGATGTCTTTAACAACACCAAATTCAGATATTGGGGATAGATATGAAAATTATGGAAAATAAGATAAAACTACAAATTATTTTAGATTTCATGTGGGAAGTTTGTTTTTTTTTTTTTATACTATTATTTTAGACTCTTTTTATCTTTTGCGTGTGTGCAGCTTAGGTTGTGAAAAAAAGTAAAGAGGTTGCAAGTTCACGGTCTTGGATGGTAAAGCTTTCTCTTTCATGTTGTATGGTCACTAGGTATCTTTAGATTCTCTCAGTTTCATGTGTTGCGGCACTAGCATCTGGAGGTGGTATGTATTGGAAACTCTGGAGCTTAAATATCAAAAAAAAGAGCCACTTCTTCCTCCCATGTTTGTTAACATAATGGTTACTTTAGGATGTTGGAACATGTAGACTATTACTGTTCATTTTATAATTAGTGGTCAATGAAAATGATTTGGCATCTTTAGGCTTACTAGTTGACCAGAAGTTGTTGTATATTGCCAAGGACATGCTTAGGCTATTGTAAACTTATAATATCCAACTTTGATTGATAATCTTGTAGTTAGATATTTGATAAGCATACTAGGTTAATGCATGAGAAGCTGTATAAACATACTTGTCTGTGAGCTAGAGTTAACCCTTACCTTTCATAGCAAGGTATTTTTCATTCAATGAGTTTCTCTACATGCTCGTAGTTGCTTGCAAGATCAAATTCACTCTTTTACTACATTGTACCCCCTCAAGTCACATTGTACCCTTTATGATCACCTTATCTTTCGCGTGTGTGCAGCTCAGGTTGTGAAAAAAGTAAAGAGGTTGCAAGTTCACGGTCTTGGATGGTAAAGCTTTCTCTTTCATGCTGTATGGTTGCTAGGTATCTTTAGGTTCGCTCAGTTTCATGTGTTGTGGTACTGGCATCTGGAGGTGGTATGTACTGGAAATTCTGGAGCTTAAATATCAGTAAAAGAGCCACTTCTTCCTCCCATGTTTGTTAACATAATGGTTACTTCAGAATGTAGGAACATGCAGACTATTACTGTTCATTCTGTAATTAGTGGTCAATGAAAATGATTTGGCATCTTTAGGCTTACCAGTTGACCAGAAGTTTTCGTATATTGCCAAGGACTTGCTTAGGCTGTTGTAAACTTATAATATCCAGCTTTGATCAATAATCTTGTAGTTAGATGTTGGATAAGCATACTGGGTTAGTGCATGAGGAGCTGCATAAACATACCTGTCTGTGAGCTAGAGTTAACCCTTACCTTTCATAGCAAGATATTTTTCATTCAATGAGTTTCTCTACATGCTCTGGTTTACAGTTCTGCTCTCTGGGGTCCTGCACACAATCTTGTTTGCTGTATGGTGGTAATTAGGTTCTGCTGAGATCATGAACATTTGATGATATCTGCTGTTGAAACTTCGTTAAGAATGATGGAAAAGGTGAGGGACAGAAAGGGTATTCTGTTCTTCATTTGTTTGGTTGCATAGGAAGGCAAGGGCTTTTCCTTTATGTTAGTATTATACGCTTATATGCTAACACAAGGGTGTGGTTTGACAGGCAGAAATGTGAAGTAAAAGGTTCCCTAACCTTTCTCCGATATGTCCATTGTTGGGCAGATTGATTTTGGTGGGCTTGGAGAGATTTACTACCCCTTGACATCTCCTTTCCCTTTCCTTTTCCTACTAATCCAAGGTATCTGTCTCCATCTCTGCCCTTTCCTTCTTGTTTTCTTCTCCTCTTTCGAAGAGACAGTAAATTAATCATTGGGAAATGATGGTACTTTTTAGCATTATCAACAAGAGAAGTGGAGTTTACATATGGCTTTTGCTCCATTCTTATGATTAGAGATTTGTGCAGCAGCTCTCATTATCATTCATGTTGCTTCTAGTGTGTCATTTTTTAGCATTATGGTAATTTTGTTGGCATCTCTTGTTTGACCATGGCATTTCCTGTCTGAATCTCTTAGCATGAGCTATATATATATTATTTAGGGTTTGTTTTGAATGTTTTTTAAATTTTAACAACTTGGCCTTGAAATTTTGTGCCCTACCACAAAAAGGAAATAAGAAATCCTTCAAGGGCTTTACTCCTCCTGCCTCATGTCACCTGGCTGAGATGTTTAAGAGGCAAAAAATATTCATCAAGTATGTTTACCATACGTAGAAGATGAATTCAGCTGTTATGGCATTTGTTTGATAGCTTCATTGAAAGTTAAAACCTAGGTGCTGGTTGGTACCTGATGCCCTGTGTCTTTGTAAAGCATAGAGTAAGTTCATATAGGGAACTTGGTTGGGTTGAATTACTGCAATTTCTCATTCAAATTGGCTTTTCTGCTCTTTATACTCAGCTTGATGTGCGTGGGAGTTTGATACCAAGAGTCCATTGCTTGGTACATTGGCAAAATCTCAGGACATCTTGTGTGAGAATGAGGGTTCAAGTTTAAAGCAGCCACATGAAGCAAATAATTACAAAATTAAGGTCTATAATCAGTCCAACATTGGGGAATGACCTTTCTTTTCTAGGGACTTTGGCATTAAATTTGATGCACTTGGCACAAATCATTAAAGAGAACCAGACCTCTCGGGTCAATTTGGAATTTTGAACTCCAGCCCAATTCTGATTCTAAAAATCCAGCTCAAATTTGTCCATTGGCTCTGAGCATGGATGGGTCAAGCTTAATTCTTTCTAATTTTGTCTTCTGCTTAGCATCTCTGGTCATATTATCAATAACTAGGCATTGTTCCTTTCTTCAAACTGCGGGTTTTTATTTTTATTTTTTTTTAAGTTCCTTATCTTTGGTGGATTTTGTCACATCACATGGATGAGAATCAGTGAACCACATCAGATTTCCAAGGGACCATCCAGCTGGTACAGATACAGAACCATTTTCTATGATTTGATTTGTACACTGTGATCATGTTTGGGTTAACTAGCAAAATTTATCAATTTAAATATTGCTGCTTTTTTTGTTTTGGCAAATCAACCCTTCTATGTACTTGACTGCAACAAGAGATACATGTATGTTGTTTTGGACTTGCAAAGTCTTCCTTCTTGTACCTTGCTGAGAGGGTTTTGTTGCTTAATTGTACATGGCAACACCAGAGGCCTAGCAAATAAGTCAGTTGAGATTTTTTATGTGGTGCTTGGATCTTGAATTTGTAGAGAGAAAAGAAAAGGGAAGAGAAAAGTGAAAAAGAAAAGGAAAATCCAAGATCCAAACAGTCTTAGTGGGATATTTGGGGATATTAAGAACACACTTGAATGTGCCCAAAAGAAATGAGTTGCTTTATTGATAGGATCAAATTAGGAGTTGGAAATTGTTTTGGATCTCTTCTTGGAAGTTTTGGTAGTGCCAGCTTATGCTAGTTCTGTTGTCTGACTAAATCCTGATCACAAAAACAATCATACTGGTGAGGTGGCAGTCATGGGTGCCCAATGGTGTGACAACTGAATTAGACCATCCAATCCTGATTTGGATTTAGACATCTCACCAAACTACACAGTGCATGGGATTGAATCTCAATACACTTGTCAGACAATGCCACATTCTTGTTCTCCTTATATTTAAGTAAAGCACTTATTTTGTTATTCTACTGAAAAGAACTTTCAGCGACTCTTCTATTGTTTGTCTGCACTTGGTTTCTTTAAAATTTGAAATGTGATTTGGTCATGTGAGGTGGATTGTCTTCTGGTGAAGGTAACCATATATTGACAAAGATATTTATGTTTTTTGTGTTTTGATAATGGCAACAAATCATGTCCAACACATGCATACCATGTTTACTGTGTATGTTAGGTTTTTTTTTACCCATGATGTAAAAGTTCCATTGTCACCACTTGCCCGTATGTTGTCTGATATTGGGTCATTAGCTCAACAGCTGTTGCCTTCAAAAACATGTGGATGGAGTCTCTGATTTGGATTAATTTGTTTTTTTTCTATTATTTGATTGTTGGGGGCAAAGTAAGTGCCACCCACTTTTATGGTGAGTTTTTATATGGCCCATTGAAGGGGTGGCATGTTATAGATAGTACCCGAAATGCTGTCAAACCAAAAATAACATGGATCCATATGGTTAGAACTGTTTTCCACGCAATGCTAGGCCTAGCATTTGGACGATAGTGCCCAAATTTAACTGTGTTAGGTCCTTAGCTGAATATAGATTATGGTACTTTGATTTTTGACTGGACTAATATAGTAAAAACATGGTTTATTTTTACAACGGTGACCAAGAACGAAATTTGGAGATGACTATGGAGGGCTATGGCGCCTGTTTCTATGAACATTATTGTTTGTCATAAAATTTTAAAATATATATATATGTATGTATGTATATATCATTTTATATATAAAATGTCCTTCCGGTATAAAAAATATATATGTTATTCTTCTTTCATTTTGAATTATTTTTCTATTTTATATTAAAAAAAACTTATTCATCCTATTTGAAATTTAAATTTTTTTGGGTAAATTACATTGACACCCCCTGAGGGTTATATTTATTATATTTTCCTCCCTCACCTTTTGAAAATTACATCTCTCTCCCTGATGTTTAAAGTTTCATTACAGATAACTCTATTTTTTTAAATACCAATTTTGCCCTCATTGGGTAAATTACATTGACACCCCTCACATTTTAAAAATTACAATCTTCTCCCCAAGGTTTAAAGTAGCATTACCAATTGTCCCCTCGGTTACTATTAGTTGAAGAAAAAATTCATTGAAAAAAAAAATTAATTGGAAAAAAAATTATTTGAAAAAAAAAATAATTGAAATTTTTTTTTATTAGTCAAATTTTTAAATTTCTGTTTAAAAACCAACGTGAGTTCTGAATAATATATGATAAAGAAAATTTTTAACTATCATTGAAAATTTGTACTTTATTTTTTTAACTATCATTTGAATATTATTGTAACTTCTTATATTTTAAAATCATACATTCAGACCCTCAACTATTAAAATTTGTACAAACGCTCTCATTCTATATAGGATGAAAGTGAAGTAATTTTGATAATTGAGGGGACAAAAAATAATGCTTTGAAGTTGATCAGATAAGATAATATTCAGAATTAATTGGTGGGGTTAAAGTGCAAGTAACCCAAAAAATTATGATCATTATGGTATTATTCAACTTTTAATTACATGGCCATTGCATCACTGGCTGCGACTAAGGTGATCCCACTGTTACACATTGGCAATTCCATTCCCATCAATTAATGACTGCAAACAAGGCATTATTATATTCAAAATTTACCATATAATATTTTTGTATAATTTAATTATAGAATTAAACACAATTTATTATGTGAAATGGAATCTATACATGTAGCTTATATCTCATGTAAAACAGTTATAACTAATTATGATCAAATTTTATGTATTTAAAATTTTTTTTTATCATATATTATTCAGAACTCACGTTGGTTTTTAAATAAAAATTTGACTAACAAATTTTTTTTAATTAATTATTTTTTTCAAAATTTTTTTTTTCCAATTAATTTTTTTTTTTCAATGAATTTTTTTTCAACTAATACTAACCGATAGGGCAATTGGTAATACTACTTTAAACCTTAGAGAGGGAATTATAATTTCTGAAATGTGATGGGTGTCAATGTAATTTACCTAATGACAGCAAAATTAGTATTTAAAAAAATTAAATTGTTGAGCAGAAATCTGTAATAAAACTTTAAACCTCAAAACGAAATGTAATTTTTAAAAAATAAAAGAGAAAATTATAATAAATATAAATCTCAAAGATGTCAGTGTAATATACCCATTTATTTATCTAAATTTTAAAGATTTCAAAAAATTTGGGCACTACTCGCCTCCTAACGATTGGCCGTCCCGAGTCCCGACTACAGCGGGCAACTTCGTCTTCAGAAAAGGTCACTAAATGCACAAATATAAATTTACTATTTAGTCCTCGTATCTTACCTTCTTTACTTCACTATCCCCATTTCATTGCTCTTTGTTTTTCAAATGACCCAACCCACACAGGCCTATTTCAGTAATCAAATTTTTAAATTTCTGTTTAAAAACCAACGTGAGTTCTGAATAATATATGATAAAGAAAAATTTTAGCTATCATTGAAAATTTGTACTTTATTTTTTTAACTATCATTTGAATATTATTGTAACTTCTTATATTTTAAAATCATACATTCAGACCCTCAACTATTAAAATTTGTACAAAAGCTCTCATCCTATATAGGATGAAAGTGAAGTAATTTTGATAATTGAGGGGACAAAATATAATGTTTTGCAGTTGATCAGATAAGATAATATTCAGAATTAATTGGTGGGGTTAAAGTGCAATTAACCCAAAAAATTATGATCATTATGGTATTATTCAACTTTTAATTACATGGCCATTGCATCACTGGCTGCGACTAAGGTGATACCGCTGTTACACATTGGCAATTCCATTCCCATCAATTAATGACTGCAAACAAGGCATTATTATATTCAAAATTTACCATATAATATTTTTGTATAATTTAATTATAGAATTAAACACAATTTATTATGTGAAATGGAATCTATACATGTAGCTCATATCTCATGTAAAAAAGTTATATCTAATTATGATCAAATTTTATGTATTTAAAAATTTTCTTTATCATATATTATTTAGAACTCACGTTGGTTTTTAAATAAAAATTTGACTAACAAATTTTTTTTAATTAATTATTTTTTTCAAAATTTTTTTTTTCCAATTAATTTTTTTTTTTCAATGAATTTTTTTTCAACTAATACTAACCGATAGGGCAATTGATAATGTTACTTTAAACCTTGGGGAGGGGATTGTAATTTCTAAAATGTGAAGAGTGTCAATGTAATTTACCCAGTGAGGACAAAATTGGTATTTAAAAAAATTAAATTACTGGGAAGAGTAATCTGTAATGAAACTTTAAGGTAGCGTTTGGTAGAGTTTTGTAAATGTGATTTGAGAGTATAAGTTGTATTTTGAGTTTGTGTGTTGTGGAATTATGATTTGAGTGTAGAAAATTTGTTTGGTAAAGAGTTTTGAAAATAGTTTTGGAAAAGAGGTTTGATTTGAGTGGGGAATTATTGATGTGACATTTGATATGTGATACAAAAATTTACAACTCATAACTAAATATACAATTCAAAATTATTTTAAAGCACATAAAAAATTTAAAAATTTTCAGAAAATATTTGTCCCGATTATGTAAATCAATTGCAAAAAAAAAAAAAATATGGAAATCAGCCGGACATCCGGGTGGTCATCCGGGTGGTCTACCGGGTGGACAACCGGGTGGACAAAAAAGGCGCCTGTGCATCAGAGTTCTCTCTGCAGAGTGTAGAAAATTGATTTGAAAACGAAACCAAACATCATGCTCCAACACAGGGGTAGAAAACTGATTACAGAGCACAACCAAACAGAGCCTAAATCTCAAGAAATGATATGTAATTTCCAAAAGGTGAGGGGAGAATTGTAATAAATATAAATCTCAAGGGGTGTCAATGTAATTTACTCAATTTTTTTTTATGTATATATAATTTATATATCATATGTATATATATACATGTATGGTTTGTGTATATAATGAAAAAAATTATTTTTATTTTAGTCCCTCTAATAATGAAATTCTAGTTCCGTCCCTAGTAGTGACGACAATGTGGTCTACCCTCTCTCCATCGTGAGTGATGCAATAAGTAAGTTACAAATGTGATTTGTGCCTCCTTTGGCAAGTTGTGATTTTAGCATAACAGAAACTCACAAATGTGTAAGAACTCACACACCATCACACGAGGAAATCATAGTTTGGTTTGGAGATTTGAACGCTGGTTCTCTCTTACCACATGAATATTATCATCAATTATTACATATGTATTGGTCTGGTTCATGAAAACGTTTTTTTCAAACATAATTTTAACCTTGATTATGCAGTTCTGGGTTTGAGTATGTTTTTATATTATATTATGTTGAGGAGACAATCACAATCAGTGGACGGAAGTGAAACCAGTAGATACTAGAATAGTATATAAAAAATGAGACTATAGAGAAATGGCGACGCACATGGGGCGTAATAGTGGGGACACAGTACTCTTTCTCACATGTGGCTCTTCCTCCTAACAGCGAAGACAAAAATAAAGTGCTTGGTAGCTAGGGTGCATCCCCACTTAGCCCCCATTAAAACCTCTGCCCCCATTAGTTTCTTACATGAAAATGACTAGTTTATGTATATATTTCCATTATGTTGTTGGGTTGGTTTTCATATTTCCTACATCTAAACGGGAGTTACAGTTAATGTTTCAAGTTAGGATTGTCCAACTAAAGAAGATAAAGTCCTATTGTTATGAATACAAAAGATTTTCACATAATGAGACATCAATGCGAGACAATGGTGGGTCTCACATTTTTCATATTTGTGTTTCGTATGTGAAAATCATTTTACTCAAGAAGATATTGCTAGTTATGGTGTAGTTGTAACTTAAATAAGTTGTTTATGACTTTTTTGTTATTTCTGTTAATGTGGTAAAAGTAACTTAAACAAGTTTAAAATTTTGATTATTTTAAAGTTAGAAAAGGATTGTTTTTAGATTCTGCTTTTAAATGATTAACTTTCAATTTAGAATAAATTACAACAAACAGATCCTCTAAACTTGTGTCTTTCTTTTTGGTTAGTGTCTAAGATGACTCAAACTTGCAATCTTGTCAATCAGGTATTACTAAATCACGATGAGTCTTTTATTTTATCCCATCTAAAGCAAATAAAATTTATAGTAGTTTTGA